TATTTCCCTAAATTCTGGAGCATATTTTCCACTTATGATTCATATCCCTTTAAAGTATGAATAGCCACACATACAAAAAGCATAGAATTTCAAGTGAAGATGTATACTAACTGACGAATTGCTGCAGATGGGTATATTTTGGTAATTTTTGTTGCTTGGTGAGTAGAAGAAATATGGCATATTTCTCTTTCCAGTGATATTTTCTTTCTCAAGCCCAAATACTGATTTTTCAGTTCTATTACATTAATAAGACTTGGTATTATACAAATTAGTTATTATTTGAGAAACAAAAATCTTCATCTGATATGACTTTTTCTTGTTTTTGTTGTTGTCATGTGGGCTAGAAGTTAACCAGACAGTAAGCAGGAAAAAAGCTTCACGTTTCAGATTTGCCTAGCTAGGAAAGGCCTCAGGGAACCACCACAGTGAGATGCAAAATGACAACAAAAGTCAAAGGAAGAAAAAGGAACATGTGGAAGAAAGCAGTGAATAAAAAACATGGAAACTTTCATAATATAAACTCGATCTGCCTTTCTTATAAATAACAAGCACATTGAACTTGGCCACAGTCATTCAGACCGGCTGTTCTCCCTAAGGTCAATGCCACAATGGGCATAGGTAGTTCATATATTCACCTGGAAGCATATAAAAATATTTAGTCAGAGCAATTTAAGGGCCAAAGTATGGCATACCTCCTCACAGCATGTAGGGTATCCAACTGCCTAAAAATAAAAGAATGTATATTTATGCTAAACACTGGTACAGATACGTGAAACAGCATAAAAGACCATATATCCTCTAATATCGGAGGTCATTTTTATTACCACTTTAAAACACCATAAGTAACCTGGAGTAGCTGAAATTGAAAGTAAATATTAATTTGTGCCCTGACATAATACTACATTGAGAAAGAGTATTTTTAAATATCTTGAGTTCGTATTTTATTTTTATATCATTAACAAATTGTAATGAATCAGGTATTCATAGTACTGTTGAAAGAACGTCATACCCAGATAAATACAGTATCAATAATGCAGGTAAACAGAAGAAAGAGTAGGCTAATTGTTTACAGGTAATTTATTGGAATCACAAAACTTTGCATTCCTGGCTTCAAGTCTAGTGTTCTTAGCAAGAAAAAGAAATTCTCCACAATTCATATTTTTCCGCTGTCTATTGCTGTGATTTAATAAAATAAATCTGTTTAGGAGTTGAGTCATGAAAGTCATAGTTTTGTTGTTTAAACAAAAGTCTAATTGTTTACCGCTTTATAATATACATGGTAAAGAATTCTGGTGTTTCCAGAATGTTCCATTTCATGTTTCAGTGACCTCTGTCATCTCCATGTCTTTCAGACTAATGAATGTGTCCAGCATAGAAACTATCAACTTTGTTAGCTACTTTATCCTCATGGGTTTTCCCTCAAGTCCAGAAATGCAGCTCCTCTACTTCAGTCTCTTCTCAGTAGCCTATACTCTCACCCTGACGGGAAATGCAGCCATTGTCTGTTCTGTGTGGTGCGACCAGCACCTTCACACTCCCATGTATATCCTCTTGGGAAATTTCTCTCTCCTGGAAATATGTTATGTTACTACAACTGTTCCTAAAATGTTGGCCAACTTCCTCTTCACAAGCAAGTCCATCTCATTCATGAGTTGTTTTGCACAGTTCTACTTCTTCTTCTCTTTTGGGTGCGATGAGGGCTTCTTTCTTTGCATCATGGCCTTTGACAGGTATCTTGCCATCTGCCGCCCTCTACATTATCCACGCATCATGACTAAACAATTATGCACTGGCCTCATCATCTTTGCGTGGTCCTGTGGGTTCGTAATCTTCCTAACTCCAGTTATTCTCATTTCACAGCTATCCTACTGTGGCCCAAATATTATCAACCATTTTGTCTGTGATCCTGTCCCACTGATGATGCTGTCCTGTTCTGAAGACATTATCACCCGGCTCATTTACTCCACATTCAATTCTATCTTCATGATTGGCACCTTTCTCTTTATCCTTTGTTCCTATGCTCTGGTGATTCTGGCTGTAATGCGGGTTCCCTCAGAGGCTGGCAAACGAAAGGCTTTCTCCACTTGTACTTCTCATTTGGCAGTTGTCACCCTGTTTTATGGCTCTGTCATGATGAGGTATGTTAGTCCTGGATCCGGACACCCAGCAAAAATGCAAAAAATCATTACCTTGTTTTATTCTGTGATAACACCTCTCTGCAATCCTCTAATATATAGTCTCAGGAACAAAGAGATGAAAGATTCTCTGAAGAAAACCTTCAGGACTGGAAAATGTGTTAATAAAATATCAATGCGATAATTTCTATTTATCAAATATAACTTTAATTAGACGTGAATATTTGTCTACAAATTCATTTAAGAACTCCTATAATAATGACTCATTAACATCTTAAACACCACTCATCACAATTTGCAATACTGTGGTCTTATTTTGTGTTGAAATGAATAAAGAGTATGTAAAATTCTATGTCTAAGCTAGTCAGAACCTCTATATGTAATTCAACTTTTTAAAAAGAATACAGATATCCTTTTTGTATTATTGAGCTAAAGTAATTGATAACACATGTAACAGATAATATAGACTGCTCTCACAATTAACACTGTAATCCAGTAATTGTGCAGTAGGAGATACTGGCTGAGAAAAAGCCAAGTTTTAAGAAGTCCAGCTTGTCAAAATGTAGCAAGTGGTCCTTACATTATGGAAATAAACTAATAACCTTAGTTTGATATTTAGTGTTTTTTCAGAGAGAACACAAAACTAGAATTAGGAATTTAAAGCAGATTAGTTACCTGGAATATAGCACAGATAAGACCTAAGCAACAAGGTGAGCACGACTCAGGATACAGCTTGTTTTGCTGTAAACCCAGTTTAAACACAGGTTTTGATGTAATTAGTTTAGCATTAATACTGTGTGACTTATGTGAGTACTGCTGGGCAATACTAAAATAAAATTCTTAAAATCCATTCTATAAATATTTGACTAACATATTAGCTTTCATTTTGATTTTTGTTTTGTTCTATGGCCATTTTTTTTTCAAATACAAATTTCAAAAACATAATGAAAAGGAATCGCAATATGAAATGTAATTTACAGAATTTTAATTTGTAAGCCCTCATAGTGCAGTTAGTTTTTGTGTCAAAAAGAACCTGAGTTGAGAATATTTTCTGAATTTGAAAGCCAGGATTTATGTGAGTTCTAGGAAAAAGAGTGGCTGTTTTATTATACTTCACATGTGAAATGTAAATTAAATAGCTAAGTACTTGCCTGGAAAACTCTTTTATATAGGAAGAAAATATGAACAATTTAGAACTTCATTCAAACTAACTTCAATGGTGGGCTCTCTTTAAAGTGCTGACAAATTTAATGCTGAGTTTCACCTGTCCATGCCAGTTTTATCTTTCTTAATTACATGAGAAAAAAAAGGAATAGAAATTCTTTTTTTTTTTTTTAAGCTAGAGAACTTACTTTTATTCTTGCAGTTTTATACTAGGAAGTCAACATTCAATTTAATAAGCCACTGTCCACAATTGATTAAAAATATTTAATTCTTCAATTTACATCAATATCCTATGACTCCAAATTTTATTTATCACTCTCCTTCAAGTCTGAAGAAAATGATTAATTTGCTAAGTTCCACAGACAATACATCCCACTGACAGTATGTCCCACTGACATAACATTTAGTATGATATCCTACTCTCATATTAAAATTAAGGACAGCCAGTATCAAACTGGCCTGAAACCTGATTGTGTTCCTGGCTCAGAATACCTGTAGCAAATTTGTAAATCTACACCAAGACACAAAATTAAACTAGGATGTGTATATCTTATAAAAAACTTTTCACAGTAAAAATCAACATTAAAATTTTATCAAATTCCAACATTATGGTTTTTTAATCCAATTAAGCTTTCAAAATGCCTGATGAGCTGTGATTTAATTATACATAACTTCATGTAGTTTGCCCAGTCTTTCAAAATGGTTATGGAATATAGCTTTTAAAATGTCAAAGTAGCCGGGCGCGGTGGCTCAAGCCTGTAATCCCAGCACTTTGGGAGGCTGAGGCGGGTGGATCACGAGGTCGAGAGATCGAGACCATCCTGGTCAACATGGTGAAACCCCGTCTCTACTAAAGATACAAAAAGTTAGCTGGGCATGGTGGTGCGTGCCTGTAATCCCAGCTACTCAGGAGGCTGAGGCAGGAGAATTGCCTGAGCCCAGGAGGCGGAGGTTGCGGTGAGCCGAGATCGCGCCATTGCACTCCAGCCTGGGTAACAAGAGCGAAACTCCGTCTCAAAAAAAAAATAATAATAAAAATAAAAAAATAAAAATAAAATAAAATAAAATGTCAAAGTACGCTATACATGTTGCACTGTTCTGCTAGGCTGGGCTAGTATCTTCCATGGCAAGATCCTCAAACTATTGAATAAAATGCACTTTTAAATCAATATAGGTACTTGATTAATTTCCCTGAAATTATCAACATCGTTACCAAAATCTTCCAGGACTTTGTAAGATTTGATTCCTTAAATGCAGTTTTAAAGTTAAATTTATGGAGGGGAAAAAATCCCTCATATACTGACTGTAAATTTTATGTCCTTTTTTAGTCCCTCAATGGCTAAAGAGAATTTTAAACAAATTATGCTTCATGTTTCCTGGCTTAATAAAAAGCTACAATTTCTATAATCCAAATTAAGAAATATTATACGAATCAGAAGCTATTAATTTTGAAACATCTATGTATGGCTGTCTGTAGGTCCCCTTAGAACCTGTCCAAGCATTTATAATCAAGAGATTTTAATGAATTATGTACTAGAATCATACTAAAGAAAAACTTATTTTGCAAAAATAAAATCACTTTCCAATATGCTTGACAGAAACAAGCTATTCATTTTCATTTGTGTTCCACTGAAGACATTACTGAAATCTGTCCAGTGGTTTATTTCCCGAGTGGTCCACTATGGAATTCTTCGGAATCTTTTAATATTGGCTGTAGCTAGAGTTCTGACTTCCATTTGGACCCTGCTCTCCTTCACTGTTTGGAGACGGTTTGGGTTTTGGCATTTTACTAAGAATAGTTGCCATCTCTTTTCTTTCATCAAAATTCTTCCGCTGTTCATATAGTTTTAAAATAACCCTGATTATTTTCAAAATCTTTTCGATATCCACATAAAGCTCAGCAAACCATTGCCTCGCATCTTTCTGCTGAACAACACAGGCTATATGTAGGCAAGCTAAAGCTATCATGAGAGGAGGATACAGTAGGCAAAGATCCATCCTGTAGGCATCATTCACTATCCTCCATGCAAGGGGAAGCAACATGTCTTCTTGGCCCACGTCCTGCACATGCTGGAGCAAAGGACTATAAGGATGATACACTATCAAGCAACAATCCATTAGTTCTAACAGGTAGAATTCACATTCTAATATATGATTCATCCTATAAGGAAATTCCTTTGGAAAGGCATGTGAAAATCTAGTTTTTAATACAGAAGTAGCAGCAGCAGTCAATTTTGTATTTGAAACTACTCCAAATTCCTCAACTTTGGATTCCAAAAACAGACATGTAGGAGCCATTAATACAAGATCTATACTTTTCAGAGAATACCTGGCATAGAATCTCTTGAAATATACCATAGCAGTGGCAGTAACTTGTCTTAATTTAAGATGTTCACCTAATGCTCGGATAACATTTGTAAAAAATATTTGTAGCTTCCAATATTCTCCTTCAGAGAGAAACTTTAAATCCTTTTGGTGCTCCTTCAACAGATCTTATTTATCCAAAATCCTTTGCAAATAGTGGGAGCTCTGCCAAAAGTTCCCTGCTATGGAACACAGCTTGCCCTGATAAAAAAAAAAAAGCACCCTCCGATGCAGCAGCTCTCGGAGGGACCATAAACCCAGTCGTCCAGTAACCGCACTCCTCGATCAAATCCAGGGATAGAAATTCTTAATAAAATATAATGTCAATTATTATAAACATGTACAGTGCCCATATTTGTAATTGTCTTCAAGTTAATCATTATTCAATTTTATATTACCAATATTAAATACTATCTCATACTGAGCTTGCTGTCACTTGATAGAATGAATTGAAAACTATTTGATACAGTAAAAAGCATTTCTATGAGATACAGATATGCCTTTATTGTGACAATATCTCTTCCTTTGTCATAATATCTCACCTATGGCTTCATGGTGAGAAATAGATTTCCCTAATAAAGGAAGAAAGAGCCTCAGGCTTGGCTCACAAATGGATTGTCTGTATATATATTTGGCAAGAAAAAAATTGACTAATGCTGCAACTTAACACCTCTCAAGGATAGCCAGAGGCTAACGGTGGAGGAAATCCTCATAAACCAATGATTTGGGAGCAATATACCTAGTTGTCCACTTTGAGTGTTAGGAGAAATAGCTTGCTATGCAAGATAAGAATATGTATAGAATAATGATTGTTGTAGGAAGCTTCACTAAATTTCTAGAAACAAACAACCTCCCAAGACTGAATCCTGGAGAAATTAAAATCCTAAAAGACCAATATTAAGCTCCAAAATAGAAACAGCAATAAATATCTGCCAATCAAGAAACCTAGACCAGTCTCATAACCAAATCCTACCAGACATACAAAGAAGGGCTAGTACCAATTCTACTGAAACCATTCCCAAAAATGAGGAGAATGAAATCCTCCCTAACTCATTCTATGAAGCCAGCATCTCCTTGGTACCAAAACCTGGCAAGTGAAAGTTTATAGCCACAAGTGCCTACACCAAAAAAGTAGAAAAATTTAAAATAACATAGTGATGTATCTTAAAAAACTAAAAAAGCAAAAGCAAACAAATTCAAATTATTAGAAGAAAATAAGATCAGAGTCGTAATAAATAAAATGAAAGGAAAGCATACAATATAGAACATCCACAAAGCGAAATGTTTGTTTTTTGAAAAAGTAAACGAAATCAACAAAACTTTACCTAAGAAAAAAAGAGAAAGACCCAAATAAATAAAACTGAGACATAAAACCAATACTGCAGAAATTAAAAGGATCACTTCCAACCATATGCCAATACACTGGAAAATCCAGAAAAAACAAATTCTTAGATACATGCAACCTGCCAAGTTTGAGCCATGAAGAAATTCAAAACCTGAACAAACCAATAACAAGTAATGAGATCAAAGCCCTAATAAAAAGTCTCACAGCAAAGAAAGCCCATGACATGATGGCTTCTCTGCTGAATTTTACCAAATATCTATAGAAGAATTAATACCAACCCTACTTAAACTATTCCAAAAAATACAGTAACATACAATACATCCAAATTCATTCTATTAGGCCAGTATTACCCTGATACAAAACCAGAAAGAGACACATCAACAAAAGAAAACACAGACTGATATCCCTGTTGAACACTAATGTAAAAATTCTCAACAAAATACTAGCAAATGAAATCCAAAATCACATTAAAAAATTAATTCACCATGATCAAGTGAGTTTTATTTCAGAAATGCTAGGATGGTTCAACGTATGTAAATCAATGAATGTGATTCATCACATAAACGAAGTTAAAAACAAAAACTATAGAATCATTTCAATCAATGTTGAAAAACACAACTATAGGATAGGAGAAAATATTTGTAAACTATATGTCTGACAAGGGATTAATAACCAGAAAATATAAGGCACTCAAACAACTCTATAGGAAAAGTCTGATCATCCAATTTAAAAATGGACAAAAGATCTTTCTCAGAAAAAACGACATATAAATGGCAAAGAGGCACGCGAAAATGTGCTCAACATCACTGATGATCAGAGAAATGCAAACCAGCACTACAAGAGGAATCACCTAACCCCAGTTAAAATGGCTTATATCCAAAAGACAGGCAGTAAGAAATGCTGGCTAGGATATGGAGAAAAGGGAACCCACTGTCGATGGGAATGTAAATTAGTACAACCACTACAGAGAACAGTCTGGAGGTTTCTCATAAAAACTAAAAATAGAGCTACTGTATGACCCAGCAATGCCATTGCTAGGTATATACACAAAAGAAAGGAAATCAGGATATTGGAGAGACATTTGCCCTCCCATGTATATTGCAGCACTATTCATAATAGCCATGATTTGGAAGCAAACTGTGTGTCTATGAACAGATGAATAAATAAAGAAAATGTGGTTCATATACAAAATGGAGTAATATTCAGCCATGAAAAAGAATGAGATCCTGTTATTTGCAACAAAATAAATAGAACTGGAGGTTATTATGTTAAATAAAATAAGCCAGAGACAGAAAGACAAATATTCCATGTTCTCACTTATTTATGGGAGCTAGAACTTAAAATAACTGAACTCATGGAGATAGAGAATAGAGTAATGGTTACCAGAGACTGGGGAGAATACTAGGGTTAAGGGGACGAATGGATAATGGTTATAAAAACACAGTTAGATGGAATAAATAAGATCTAGTATTTGATAGCATGACAGGGTGACTATAGCACATTTTAAAATAACTAAAAGAGTATAATTGCATGGTTTTTAACACAAAGAAAGGGTAAATGCTTGAGGTAATGGATATCCCATTTACCCTGATGTAATTATTATACATTGTATGCCTATACCAAAATAATTTTTAAAAAAATTTTTTAAAATATAAAATAACAATCTGATATTACAACTCAAGTGCCTAATAAAAGAAGAACAAACTAAACCCAAAGTCAGCAGAAGGAAAGAAATAACAAGGATCAGAACAGAAATAAATAAAATAGAGGCTAAAACTACAACAGAAAAGAACTCAATGAAATAGTGGTTTTTCAGAAGGATAAACAAATCAACAAACCTTTAGCCAAACCAAGAAAAAAAGAGAAAGGACTCAAATATTAATATAATCAAAAGTGAAAGGGAGACATTACAACTGATACCACAGAAATATAAAAGTTCATAAGAAAAGTTCCTACGAGGGTTCTATGAACAATTTTATACTAACAAGTTGAATAAAGTAGAAGAAATAAATTCCAAGATACATACAAGATACCAAGACTGAATCATGAAAAGTCGAACAGACCAAAAATGAGTAAGAATATTGAATTATAATAAAGTTTCCCATCAAAGAAAAGCCCAGAATAGCTTTACTGATGTATTCTATCAAACATTTAAATAATTAGCAATCCTCAAACTCCTCCAAAAAATCTAAGAGGAAGGAATACTTCCACACTTTTTTTATATGGCCAACATTACTCTGATAGCAAAGCCAGACAAGAACAAGAAAAAGAAAAATTACAGGCCAATATTCCTGATGAACATAGATGCAAGAATTCTCAATCAAATACTAGCACAATTAATTCAATAGCACACTAAAAAGATAATTTACCATGCTTGAATGGATTTACCCCAAGGATACAAGGAGGATCAACATACATAAGTCTATAAATGCGATACATGATATTAACAAAACGAAGCCCAAAAATTAGATAATCATCTAATTAGACACAGAAATTGCATTTGAAAAATTCAACATTGTTTCATGAAAAGATTCTCAACAAAGTTGGTTTAGAAGAAATACACTTCAACACAATAAAGACCATCTCTGACAAGCCTACAGCTCACATAATACTCAATGTACCCTCCAAATCTCAGGTTGAATTGTGATCTTCCATGTCAGAGGGAGTGCCTAGTGGGAGGTGTCTGGGTTATGGGGGTGAATCCCTCATGGGATGGTGATGGTATCCAACCAACCCTCATGGATGGGTTGGTATCCTACCCAGGGGAGAGTTACCATCAGATCTGATGGTTAAAAAGAGTATGGGACAGCCCCCTACTCCCACTTTGCTCCCTCTCTTACCATGTGACACACCTGCTCTCCCTTTGCTTTCTGCAATGAGTGAAAGCTTCCTGAGGCTTCAGAAGCTGAGTGGATGCTGATGCCATGCTTGTACCTCCTGCAGGACCATGAGCCAAATAAACTTTTCCTTATAAATTATTCCGTCTCAGGTATTCCTTTATAGCAGAGTAAAATGGACTAACACAAAGGTTATTCTTGATTTATGCAACGGCCATTTTAAGGGTGTGGTAGGGAAAGCCACATTTAAATATATTGGAGGTGACATGAGGAAAAGATGAAGACTCCTTACTGTCTCTTAAGCATGACAGGCACATCCCTGCCTCATGGCCCCTATACATGCCATTTCCTCTGCCTGGAATGCTCTTTTCCCAGATATTCATGTTTCTTTCCCCCACACTCCCTTCAAATCCTTGACTAAATATCACCTTTTCAGAGAGGCCTTTCCTGACTAGACATTGGAAATTCCACCCAGGGGAATTGAGAGACATTGGTCAAAAGGTACAATCTTTCAGCTAAACAGGATGAATGAGTTTTGGAGATCTACTGTACAGCAGGACAACTACAGTTAATAGTCATACGTTAGACCATTGTCCCTAAATATTTGCAATATCTGGGGAGCAACTGGTTCCAGGACTCCCCAAGGACACCAAAATCCTGGGATGCTCAAGCTCCTTACATAAAATGATATTATTTTATATTTGCATGTAACCGATGCACATTCTCCCATATTCTTTAAATCATCTATAGATTACTTATAATACTAGTAAAATATAAATGTTTTTTGTTTTGTTTTGTTTTGTTTTGAGATGGAGTCTCACTCTCTCGCCCAGGCTGGAGTGCAGTGGCATGATCTGGGCTCACTGCAACCTTCACCTCCCGAGTTCAAGCAATTCTCCTGCCTCAGCCTCCCAAGTAGCTGAGATTACAGGTGCCTACCACCACACCCAACTAATTTTTGTATTTTTAGTAGAGACCGAGTTTCATCATGTTTACCAGGATGGTCTTGATCTCTTGACTTCACGATTCACCTGTCTCAGCCTCCCAAAGTGCTGGGATTACAGGCGTGAGCCACCGTGCTTGGCCATAAATGTTTTATAAATAGTTGCTATTTGTATTGTTTTTCATTTTTATTGTATTTTTGTGGGGGGTTTTGTCCTAATATTTTCTGTCCAGTTGATTGAATGCCTGAAGGTGGAACTCATGGATACATATGCCCAAAAGTATACTTGAAATTGTTAAAAAAAAAATCTAATGTTCTCACAACAGTAAAACATATGTGGAAGTGATAAATATGTTTATTAGTTTGAACTAATCATTTCACCATGTATACATATTCAAAAAAACCATCTTGTATGCCATAGAGTTATTTTTAATATAAAATAATAAAAAATTACCTATTATAAAGCAGGCATATTGAATAAATGCCAAGTTAACCTCACATACTGGATAGTGATTCCATGGAAAGTAGTCTTCCTTAATTGGGAAAAGACCCAAGTGACAGACTAGCTCCCTATGGAAAACTGTAACTGGTTTAAACTCCAGAATGTCTCACTAAACAGCCAAATATATCTCTGAAAAGACAGAAGTAAAGCAATGCTAGTTCTGTGAATTGCTTTTTCTTCTCATGTAAATCTATATACTGGTTTTGTCAATTATACCTTAATAAGGATGGGGGGAAAATGCACCCCTGCCATCTCCCACACACTCCCTATTGACTTACACTTCTAATATTTCTCCATGTTGACTCATCAGTCCCTAAAATACTATGTAGTTTACTAATGTATTTACCACCTGCCTTCCTTGGAATCTAAGTTCCACATAGGGATTTTTGTACATTTCATTCACTGCTATGTGCAAGAGCATTTAGAATGGTCACTGGAACATTCACAATCAATTGTTATTATTGGATTAACTAATCAGTTCTTAATAATGAAATAGAAATGAAATGAAATGAAAGTATGATGAAAGGAAAAACATTAAATGTTAGTGATATTGTATTCTTGTGGCTATGTTTTCTCAAATTTTTCTTTAATAAGTGTTTATTTTCTATAATAAAGTATAGTTATACTTGTAAAATATCGAAAGTATTTGTTAAGATAAATTTACGTAAATAAATTACATGATTTTTGAAATGGCCATTTCAGAGGTGTGGTGGGTGGAAGCCATATTTAAATATAGTGGAGGTGAGAAAGAGATGAGGACTCCCTGCTGTCTCAATCATGTCAGGGGTGCTCCTGTCTCCTGGCACCTATACATGCCATCTCCTCTGCCTGGAACCCTCTTTCCCCAGACGTTTCTATTTCTTGCCTCCACATTTCCTTCAAGTTTTTATCCAAATATCTTTATGAGATTTCTGAATTTTTAATTTATCTATATCTTTTGTATATTCATCCTGATGCCAAAACCTCATACACACACACACACACACACACACACACACACACAAAGAGAACTTCAGGACAATATCATAGATGAGCATTGATATCACAGCTTGTGTCAAATGTTAATTAATCTTGTTTCTCCTGAGTCTAATGGTCAAATGCATGTTCATTTAACAAGGCTGTTTATTAAGTATAGTGCTTTAGTATTATTTATTTAGATTATTTAAGAAAAAAGTCCCAAAGATAACTCACATTGTTGACCAGAGTAAATTAAAGGCAAACACATTTAATAATAACTAGAAGCCATATTCTGATTACATATTTTTTACATATTCAGATTGCATGATTTTGGCTAGTCATCCTAATCTTTTGTAAGAAACATCAGAATTAGAAATGAAAAAGGCCATGTTACCACTGAACCCACAGAAATAAAAAATAACCATCAGAAACTACTACACACACCTCTATACACACAAACTAGAAAACCTGTAAGTGATGGATAAATTCCTGGACACACAATAATGTGCTCCAAACTTGCATCAGTAATAAATAGCCTACCAATCAAAAAAAAATTGTAAAAGCTCAGGACTAGATGAATTCACAGCTGAATTACACCAGATATACAAAGAAAAGTCAGTACCATTTCTGCTGAAATGATTCCAAAGAATTGAGAAGGACCTCTGCCCAACTCATTCTATGAGGCCAGCATCATCCTGATGCCAAAACCTCATGGAGACACACACACACGTACACAAACACACACACACACACACACACACACACACACACAGACACACACACAAAGAGGACAATATCATAGATGAGCATTGATATCACAGCTTGTGAATTGTATCATGACAAAGACACAAAGATGGTAAAATTAAAATGCAAGGAGGGGGCCAGATATGATGGCTCAAAACTATAATCCCAGCACCAAGGCAGGCAGATTACAAGTTCAGGAGATCGAGACCATCCTGGCTAATATGGAGAAACACCGTCTCTACTAAAAATACAAAAATTAGCTGGGCGTGGTGGCATGCACCTGTAATCCCAGCTACTTGAGAAGCTGAGGCAGGAGAATCTCTTGAACCCTAGAGGCAGAGGTTGCAGTTAGCCAAGATTGCGCCACTGCACTCCAGCCTGGTGACAGAGAAAGACTTCGTCCAAAAACAAAAGCACCAACAACAAAAAAGCGCAAGGATGGAAAAGGTGCTTTGTTTAGGGGAAGAGGGGAAAGCATTCTGAGAAAACAAGATGTCTTTTGAACTGGACCTTGAAGGAGGGTTTTTCACAGGTGTAGATGGAGATAAATAGAATTCCAAATACAGAAAATGATCGTAAAGAACAGAACATAGGAAACTGAAGCTATTCAAAGAATGAAATGCTGTCTACCATCTAATTTATCTGTAAAAGAGAGTAGGGAAAGATAACACCAGGAAAGTAATTTGAAGTCAATTTGTGGAGAACTTAGGAACTTGAAATTATTGATGGCCTTTGAGCAGACAACAAGATTAAAGCTATGTTTTAGGAGTTCCTAAGTATTCTGACTAAGTGATAATAAACTTCTTAATAAACATTTTCCTCCATAGTATCTCAAAGTGGAAGTCTGATTTTAGACATAAGATTTCTGTGGTCCTAGGACATACACCCCTGATGTCCTCAACTACTTCACAATACATGGTGTGAGCATTCACTCCCACGTGAGTGTTTAGTTACACTATGTCGGTTCCTAAATGCCATAAAGTAAAAATAGAAGGGACACTAATCAATAAAGATAAGTATCTCTCTCATATTAATTGGGAAGTCATATGTTCCTCTGAAGTATTTCTGTCAATTAACGTAAATGTTGTTACTTCCTATACTTTCTTCTCATAGCTAAAGAACTCTGTGGTGCCATCCTTGTATAAGTTATTTCTAAATTCTATCAATCTCTATTTAACATGCTACAATGTTGGAACCTCAGTATATTCCTCACTGGGCTCCATATCCTCCAACATACCCATAGTAACACTTGAAATGTTCCTAAACATTATGTCAGAACTTTTGATGACATTTTGTATCTTATTTCTCCTCAGACTGTGTCTTCCAAAAGTTTTTTTAGAATCCATCTGGTGGGAAAGCTTTTTATAAAATAATGATGCCTTAGAAAAATTGTCATTACTCTTTGCTGATTCTTCAGAGCATGTGTAATCATTAACTTTTTAAAGATTCATTGGCTTGGAAGATAAATTTTCTAATGCTATAGAGGCTACATCCCAAGAGACCGTGAGTTTTTAAAATTGCATTTTTAATTTTGGGGCCACAGTAAAACTGTCTAGCTGGAGGCAGAATATGGTTTATAAAATAAATCATTTAGAGATTTGGTTCATGTCAAAACGACGATGACTTCACCTTTTGAGCACTGCCAAGAATCATGACACTCCTGTGTCAATCCCTTTTCATTCCATAATTTCTTAATGCTGGTTTATTAATGATTCTGGTTGGAAACCTATTATAAAGAGTCACATATTATTAAAAGAAGCACAAACATAGCTGCTAACTAGTCATGCTCTAGACTTCCCAGAGCACTGGTGTAGAGAGTAAATTGGAAGAAAACTTTTGAAAATTGTGTTTGTGCTCAAAATATATGCCCTCATGACTTCCAGGACTCATATCCCTCTGTATTTGTGAGAAAAAAAAAAAGGTTTTTTTTCAGGTAACACAAATCCCTAATATAATTTTACAAGAATGTAGGAGGGAGGCAGATTCAAGATGGCCAAATAGGAATAGCTCTGGAGCACAGTTCCCAGTGGGAACAACACAGAGGGTGAGTGATCAACATATTTCCAAATGACTTATTGCTGCCCACAGACCAGGAGCTTCCCGGGCTGAAAAGCACCACAAGTTTCCAACAAGGCTGTTTCAGCTGGTGCAGAAGGTCTCCTCACAAAAACTCACAGAAATCTGGGTGGCCATTTCAATTGGCACCTGGAATGCCTGGGAGACAGAGCCACCCATTCAACTGAAAAAAAGGGGGCTGAAACAGCGAGCCATGTGATCTGGCTCCGTCCAGGGATGGTCCAGCTCTGTGGGGGGAAGGGCATCCACCACTACCTAGGCAGTCACCATTACTGAGGCAGACCACCACTACCAAGGCAGTTCTAACTATACCTCTATAAACAGAACCACAAGGAAGTTCAAACAGCAGCAGGCAGAGCACATGGCAGTTCAGCAATGCCTTTGCTGGCAGACTGTGACTAGGCTACCTCCTAGCTGGGCAGGGCATCTCTGAGAAAAGGAAGCAGCACATCAGGAACTTAGAAATAAAGCCCCAACTTCCCAGGACAGAGTTCCTGGGAAAAAAGGTGGTTATGAGTCCCACAGCAGCAGATTTACCAAGCAAATGGAGAGCAAAAAAAAAAAAAAAAAAAGCAGGGGTTGCAATCCTAGTCTCTGATAAAATAGACTTTAAATGAACAAATATCAAAAGAGACAAAGAATGGCATTACATAATGGTAAAAGGATCAATGCATCAAGAAGAGCTAATGATCCTAAATACATATGCACCCAATACAGGAGCACCCAGATATATAAAGCAAGTTCTTAATAACCTACAAAGAGACTTAGACTCCCACACAATAATAGTGGGAGACTTTAACACTCCTCTGTAAATATAAGACAGATCAATGAGACAGAAAATTAACAAGGATATCCAGGACTTGAACTCAGACCTGGACCAAGCAAACCTAATAGACATTTACAGAACTCTCCACCCCAAATCCACAGAATGTACATTCTTCTCAGTACTGCATCACATCTACTCTAAAACTGACCACATAATTGGAAGTAAATCACTCCTCAGCAAATGCAAAACAACAGAAATCATAACAAACAGTCTCTCAGACCACAGTGCAATCAAATTAGAACTCAGGATTAAGAAACTCACTCAGAAACACACAACTTCATGGAAACTGAACAACTGGCTATTGAATATTGACTGGATACACAATGAAACAAAGGCAGAAATAAAGATGTTCTTCAAAACCAATGAAAACAAAGACACAATGTATCAAAATCTCTGGGATACGTTTAAAGCAGTGTCTAAAGGAAAATTTATAGCAATAAATGCCCACATGAGAAGCAAGGAAAGATCTAAAATCTACACCCTATCATCAAAATTGAAAGAGCTAGAAGAGCCAGATCAAAAAAACTCGAAAGCTAGCAGAAGACAAGAAATAACTAAGATCAGAGCAAAACTGAAGGAGATAGAGACACAAAAAACCTTTCAAAAAAATCAATAAATCCATGAGCTGCTTTTTGAAAAAAATCAATAAATAGACAGCCTGCTAGCCTGAGTAATAAAAAAGAAAAGAGAGAAGAATCAAATAGATGAAACAAAAAACAGTGAAGGGGATATCACCACCAATTCCACAGAAATACAAACTACCATCAGAGATTACTCCAAACAACTTTATGCAAATAAACAAGTTGAGGCAGCAATTACGAGCCTACCACCCAAATAAAGTCCAGGTCCAGATGGGTTCACAGCCGAGTTCTACCAGACATACAAAAAGGAGCTGGTACCACTCCTTCTCAAACTACTCCAAACAATACAAAAAGAGGGAAGCCTTCCCAAATCATTTCATGAGACCAGGATCATGCTGATACCAAAACCTGACAGACACTCAAAAAAAAAAAAAAAAAAAAAAAGAAAACTTCAGGCCAATATCTATGATGAACATAGATGCAAAAATCTTCAAGAAAGTACTGGCAATCCGTTTGCAACAGCACATCAAAAAGCTTTTCCATCACGAACAAGTGGGCTTCATCCCAGGGATCCAAGGCTGGTTCAACATATGCAAATCTATAAATGTAATCCACCACATAAACGGAACCAAAGACAAAACCACATGATTATCTCAATAGATGCAGAGAAGACCTTCAACAGTCCTTTATGCTAAAAACTATGAATAAACTAGGTATGGACAGAACGTACCTCAAAATAATAAAAGCTACTTACAAAAAACCCACAGCCAATATCATACTGAATGGGCAGAAACCAGAAGCATTCCCTTTGAAATCTGGCACTAGACAAGGATGCCCTCTCTCACCACTCCTATTCAATATAGTATAGGAATTTCTAGCCAGAGCAATCAGGTAAGAAAAAGAAATAAAAGATATTCAATTCAAAAAGGAGAAAGTCAAAATGTCTCTGTTTGCAGACAACATGATTGCATATTTAGAAGACCCCATCTCTCAACCCACAATCTCCCAAAACTGGTAAGCAACTTCAGCAAAGTCTCAGGATACAAAATCAATGTGCAGAAATCACAAGCATTCCTATAGACCAATAACAAACTTAAAGAAAGCCAAACCAAGAACGAACTGCCATTCACAATTGCTACAAGAGAATAAAATATCTAGGAATACAACTAACAAAGGATGTAAAGGACCTCTTCAAGGAGAACTACAAACCACTGCTCAGAGAAATAAGAGAGGACACAAACAGATGAAGAAACATTCCATGTTCATGGTTAGGAAGAATCAATATCGTGAAAATAGTCATACTGCCCAAAGTAATTTGTAGATTCAACGCTATCCCCATCAAGCTACCTATGACTCTCTTCACAGAACTGGAAAAAACCACCTTAATCTTCATATAGAACCAAAAGACAGCCTGCATAGCCAAGACAATTCTAAGCAAAAAGAACAAAGCTGGAGGCATCATGCTACCTGACTTCAAACTATACCTCAAGGCTACAGTAATAAAAACAACATGGTACTGGTACCAAAACAGAGATATAGACAAATGGATCAGAACAGAGGCCTCAGAGGAAACGCCAGACATCTACAACCATCTGATCTTTGACAAACCTCACAAAAACAAGCAATGGGGAAAGCATTCCCTGTTTAATAAATGGTTTTGGGAAAACTGGCTAGTCATGTGCAGAAAGCAGAAACTGGACCACTTCCTGACACCTTAAGCTAAAATTAACTCAAGATGGATTAAAGACTTAAACATAAGAACTAACACCATAAAAAATCCTGAAAGAAAACCTAGGCAAAACCATTCAGGACATAGGCATAGGCAAGGACTTCATGACTAAAACACCAAAAGCGTTGGCAATAAAAGCCAAAATAGACAAATGGGATCTAATTAAACTCTAGAATTTCTGTACAGCAAAAGAAACAATCATTAGAGTGCACCAGTAACCAACAGAATGGAAAAAATTATTTGCAATCTACCCATCTCACAAAGGGCTAATATCCAGAATCTACAAAGAACTAAAACAGATTTACAAGAAAAAAAACAAACAAGCCCATTCAAAAGTGGGTGAACGACACGAACAGAGACCTTTCAAAAGAAGACATTTATGAGGCCAACAAACATATGAAAAAGTGCTCATCATCACTGGTCATTAGAGAAATGCAAATCAAAACCACATTGAGATACCATCTCATGCCAGTTAGAATGGCGATCATTAAAAAATCTTGAGACAACAGATGCTGGAGAGGATGGGGAGAAATAGGAACACTTTTACACTGTTGATGGGAGTATAAATTAGTTCAACCATTGTGGAAGACAATGTGACAATTCCTCAAGTACCTAGAAATAGAAATTCCATTTGACCCAGCAATCCCATTACTGGGTATATATCCAAAGGATTATAAATCATTCTATTATAAAGACACATGCACATAGATGTTCATTGCAGCACTGTTTACAGTAGCAAAGACCTGGAACCAACCCAAACCCATCGATGATAGACTGGACAAGGAAACTGTGGCACATATATGCCATGAAATACTATGCAGCCATAAAAAAATGATGAGTTTGTATCCTTTACAGGGACATGGATGTACCTGGAAACCATCATTCTCAGGAAACTGACACAAAAACAGAAAATCAAACACCAC